CCTTTTGTAGGTTTTGAAGAACTGCAGATAGAAATTCAGTATGAGATGGGAAAAGTTTTGGTATTACTAACAGGGCCCTCGAATTATCCTTGCTGGTGCCCCATTAGGCCTGCCAGACTCTCGATCCTCACCCATTATAGGCTTAAACGAATTGATTTCAATTCGAGAGGATGTATTTCCCCATGTCCATGCGAGGAAACTCAATGTTTAACTCGTAAACACGAGGCTATGCACCCCAGAGGTTACTTGCTAAAGCCCATGTGGAGAAAAATATTTTTTCTCACGTAAGCGTAGCATTCACCCCTACCTAATGGGATAGAGCACAATTAGAAGGCTCTAAATACTCAAACAATTATAGTACGAGTGGGAGGAACTCACAATCCTTCACTTCGATCCAAAAACAAACAGACTAAAACAAAGGTCAAAATTCTGAAACATGTAAATCACGTTAGTACAACCAATAAATAAAAGATGCATGATGCAATGCAAACAAAACATGAGGATCAAAATTTAAATATCGTTCAAATTTACCATTTTTAACAAAAAATATGACGAATAATCGATTACGACTTGACTCTCTAATGTCCCCAGCGGAGTCGCCAAGCTGTCGGAACGGTCTTAAGCTTTTTAGGGCTACGGCGGGGTGCGATCCAACTTAATCTTGGAAAAGGTTGGGTTTTAAAATAAATTTATTTATAAACGAATTTGGAGTAGGTAGGTCGAGAACTAAAAAATATCCTTTAAAATAATTTCAAGAAAAAAATAATTTTAAAAGATAAAAAATGACATGCGTTTAACCAGAAATTCATTTTGAAAAAGGTTCAGGTGTCGATTACGTGTGGGGAAGGATTAGCACCCTTTTAATGCTCGAAATCGGTACCTAAGCGATTATACGTCATCTAGATGTTGAAATTGGTAAACTTGAATATACATTTAAATTGTGATCCTTTTTAGAAAAATTAAAAGGGTGTTATTTTGTACAACCATTCTCGAAAATACCTTTCTTGTTAGTTAATGGGGCATTTCCATGGATTCTCCATACGAAATAATATTGCCCTAATTTTCCTAAATCATATATACACAATAATTTTTAAAACAAATTGGATATAAAAAGGTATTACTTTGTATAAAAAATCATTGGGAACATGATCCTTGTCAGTTGAGGCACATTTCCATAGATTCCCCATAAAAAGTAATATTGTTTTAGCTCATAGATAAAATACACATGTTAAATATTTAAAGAGTTCATTCGTAAATAAAAAGTATTATTTTGTTCGAACAATTCTTGGAAACACACTCCTTGTCAGTTAAGGTGCATTTCTATAAATTATCCGCACAAAATAATATTTAACATATATATTTAAAAAAATACTAATATACATATATTGATCGAACCCATGCAGATTTAATAGCTACCTAATAACATGCAACAAACAAAGATAATGTCAAAACACAACACAACGCAAGTCGAATAGACCACACTAAAATATAACAAAAAGACAGGAACTTTAAAGACCAAATTGCAAAACCAGCAAAGCCTAGGGTAATCATTGCAAATATTATACAAACTAGGCACCAGAATTGTAAATAAACTAATAAAACCATTCATAACTAAAAATATTCAATTTAGGATTAAACTGTAAAACAAGCAAAAATCATGGCCATAAACAAGAATAAAACACAACCTAGGTACTGGACATGTAATTTAATCATCATCACAATTTAGGATTAAAATGGAAACCGTTAAAATCTAGGGACTGAATAAAACATTTACCCAATACACGTGTAAATAAGGGCATTGACTAAAATAAAGACAGAGTAAAACTTGAGATCCAAATTAAAATAAATGGAACTTCATTTCAGTGACCAAAATGAAAATTTACAATACACAAGGGCTGTAGAAACGAGTTTCCCATGCGCCCAAAACGTACAACCCCTCCCCCTAAACGATGTCGTATGGGGAGGGGTATATATCTGTAAACCAGTCTAAAATGGCACAATCTCCTCATTTTTTCATTTTCATTTCTCTCTCTAAAAGAAGAGAAAACCTTTTTTTCTCTGGCTTCTCTTTCCTCCTCACCGAGGGAGGCCGATAGCCTCTGGCCACCACTCGTCGAAACCCTCTACCACCTCTTATGGCGGTCGAAGATTTAAAAAAAATCCCAAAATGTCGGTCACTATTCCCTTAACCCAAAAATACACCCCACTTAACCTAAAACCAACCCTAGCTTCCTACATCTGAGGGAAACGAAGGGGTTACCTTCGGTTTTCGTGGTTCTATTTTCTCCGATAGCGAGATACCTGGCGTTTGTGATAAGTTCTCATTTCCACTCTCTCGATTTTTTCTTTCTTTTTTTATTCCGAAATGAGCCCCCTTTTCTTTGTGTTATCTTCCTATTTTTTCTTTGTTTGGTTATCGATCCTCCCCCTTTTCCTTCTATTTGCTTTTAAAAGATCTCAGATCTTCGTTCTGTCCCCGAAAATCCTCACATTTCCCTAATATTTTTTTGTTATATTGTATATAGAGGAGTCTTCCCCTCTTGGACTTTTCTTTTGGCATGAAAATAGAAAGAGAGAGTCTTTGATTCCTTTTAGTTTCTCTTTCTTTTTGCTATGGATGCTCTGACCGAGGACGGTGTTCGACGGTGACGACAACAACACAAGGGTTAAAAATTTAACCCCGAGGCTATCTTCGTCCGCCCTGAGGCAGCTGGTGACAAATCCAATGGTCGCAATCCTCAGGCAGTAGGGAACCACAGGCACGTGTAACTCACGTAGGGAGCGGGTGGTGGCGGCTTGGCGCTTGATGGTAAATTATCTTTAGGTCAAAACCCTAATATATGTTAATCTGGGTCTTTGGATCTGATCTGATCCAATGGTTGAGATGAGGTGGTGGTTGGAGGCTTGGTGCAACTAGGGTTTCCTAAATTCTTGGGTTGCATCTGGGTTTGGGCTTGTTTGTAATTGGTTTTGGGCCTATAATTTGGTTTGGACCTTTGTTGGGCTTGATTTGTAATATGAAAAATAAGAAAATAAAATTAATAATAATACTAATAATATTAAATAATAATAAATAATGTTAAATTCGAACCCAGATAAAAACGAGTGTCTACACTAGTCGTTTATAATAGTTGTGGAACGAGCAGTTGCAACGGTCAAGACGAAACTCGTCACCTTGAGGTGACGAGTTCAGTGGGATTTTTGAAAATTATAGTCGTTTATAGCCATTAGGTTTGGGCTTATAAATAGTGGTTTGGGGTTTAGTATTTTTTTATTGTGTATTGTTAAGAAAAACATTGAAAAAAATCATATTTTTTGAAGAATTCCCGAAAAATTTCTACATGTGATGAAATGTTACGCCTTGATGTTATCCATATTTCTTCGATCGAACTCGGTTCAGAAGAAGAACGGGACGTTCGCCAACGAGGAATGACACTGAGAGATCTGCATCAATGGATTATTTTATATCTATAACAATCTGGGTTGTATCCAGCCACATTTTAGTGCGGTTTTAAGGTGAACCCAACATTGATTTCGACTATGATTGAATGTTGGAGCCCTAAGATGCATACTTTCATTTTTAGAGTGGTGAAGTGATAAATAAATGAAAGCGGATAAATATGGATGTTGCTCGAGTTGAGGAATCAAACATAGAAAGCTCTAGATTCGATGAAGAAACGAGAAGAATTGTTGAATGAATAGGCGGTGACTATGGTTTTATACAAAGCATGTAATAAAAGAATTGAACTTATCTATTTTAAAGGGACAGGTAATGGGTATTTGATGATGGATTTTTATGGATGAATGCTTGTTGGAAAGATGATGATTCAATGATCGTAATGGTGAAAAATGATTTGAGATCAGATGGTCAAATTGATGAGAAAATCATTTTTAAGATTTATCCCCGATAGGTATGATGATAACATAAACCTAATTTAGGGATAACTGTGACATGATAGTGATATAGGGAAAAATAAGATGATAATAGAATATGAATGTGAAGGATAATTGTCCTATCGAACCCTCATAGTCGTAATGAAAATGCAAACTTGATAATACGAGTATAACCAACCCTCCTAATCGTAATGAATAGACAAACTGGAATGTGAAGATCTTTCTCTCAAGAACCTAAAAGAACTAAAAGAAAAAAAGCTTCAAAGGCGTATGACTATTAACTCTTGGAAAAAACAATCTCTTGTTGTATTGTATAAAAGAAGAAAACTTGATGATTACAATGCGGGAGGACCATTCTTTATATAGGTTTTGAGGAGTCCTTGTTGTTACATAATTGAATAATAAAATAATAACAAAATCTACCCTAAATCCAAGTGAATGGATGACATGAATGAGGGCCCTTGATGAATCTTTAATATGTTGGTGTGGAAGAAATAAGTATGAGGTAATCCTTGTAACTTGATGGATAATCTAGATGAGTCTGTTAGAAGGGGCATGGGTGGCATATAATGAAAAAGAGATGTGATAGACGCCCATGGTTATGATAAGTGATGTGATGAGGTTGATAAGTTATCAAGGTTCGTGATAGGTGGTATGATGTGATAAGGAAAGTGTAGGGTGATAATCTATCAAGGGTTTACAATCAATAACCCATTTACCCTTATCCAAATAAAATAATAAAAATCCTAAGATAACGAGTTAGCCTAGGTTTTATGGACTTAGCACTGGGTAACTTTACAAGTTTTGTGACTTAAGGGGTTGAAACTCATTTTCGGGTATATCTTCATAAGTCTTGTAATTAGGCCTGAAATAACTAGGGTTGTGGTGATCTAAGTTGATATGTGAGGAAGGATAAGTGAGTTTCCTTCCTTGAACTCTTCATTCTCCATATGGGCGTATAGGCCCTTACTGATGAAGGCATGTACTGCAGTCTAGAGTTTATCTTTGAGTAGTTTGGCCCGTCATCTTGTGATTGGGCCTAAAGATAGAGTGAGCTCATCTTCCTTAGCTTTTGGGCGTGTGGTGCATATATCATCTCCCCATCCTTAAAAAGATTCGTCCATATCTGAAACATCAAACGGAGATAAGTCAGAAACATTAAAAGATGCACTCATGTCATACTCACCTGGAAGATCAATATAATATGTATTCTCATTAATTCGTTAGAGTACTTGGAATGGTTCATCGCCTTGTGGGTCAAGTTTAGATTTCCTTTTCTTTGGAAAATCTTTCTTTTCTTATGTGTACTCAAACCTAGTCACCTAGTTCAAATCTGACATGGTGTTTTCCTTTGTTAACTCTGTGAGCCACTACTTCGTATGTTTTCTTCATCATTTGTTTGGATTTGGCATGAATATCCTTGACAAAGTTTACTTTTTTTATTTTCCATCCATGGTAGTAATATGTTCTAAGGGAAAATGAATGAGACCTAAAGTAGTTAGTGATCAAATCCTTAAACTATTTCGACTAAAGAATAACCTGTCGTGGAGTAGATTGACATATTGTATGAAAATTCAACTAAAGGTAAACATTTTTCCCAGTTACGGGTGTTTTTACCATCCATGATTCTAAGTAAAAAACCTAGAATCTGATTGATTATCTCAGTCTATCCATCGGTTTGAAGATGACAAGTAGTTAAGTATAGAATCTTTGTACCTTTCTTACCCCCACAATACCTTCAAAAGTGGCTTATGAACTTTGTGTCTCGATCAGAAACAATTGTGCGAGAGATGCCATGGACTCTCACTATTCTCGGAAAAATAAATTAGCAATGTGTGATGTGTCGTCAGTTTTATGACAAGGAATAAAGTGTGCATCTTTGAAAACCTGTCGATAACCAAAAAGATATTATATCACCCTTTTTTGGTTCGAGGTAAGCCCAAAATAAAATCCATAGATAAATCAATCCAAGTCGAGAAAGAAATCAAAATTGGAGTATACAAAGTATTAGAATTTACCTTGGATTTGACTTGTTTGTATGTGATGCATGAAGCACATATGTTTTCAACGATTTTCCTTATGTGTGGCTAGAAAAAGTGTTCCATGACTATGTCAAGTGTCTTGTTAACACCAAAGTGGCCCATTAGTCATCCTAAATGTGACTCATAGACTAGAAACTCTCGTAATGAGCCTTGTGGTATGCACAACCTATTCATTCAAAAAAAATCCTTCTACAAGATAAAGCTTGTTAAAATCACCTTTTGAACAATGGTTGTAAATTTTAGAAAAATTCGGATCAAAGAATAAAGATCTTTGATGTGTTCGAAACCCATAATAGTAGCATGCATTTGTGTAATGAGTGTGTACCTTTAGGTAATGCATCAGCTAAAATGTTATCTTTCAATCTCCCTGATGAATCATAGCAATCCATTGGTATCTTGATCCAATGGTCTTCCCCATGAGAAGCCAATGCTAAAGTCTGAAATCCTAATGTGTATGTAGGCAGGGTCAGTCCTGCATTCTCAATTGGGTTCTCCTCTGCTAGGTCAGGCAGACGGGCTTCCTTTTGGACCTTGGCTTTATGAACCAGACTTGGAAATTGGACCTTGAACTCAATTGGACCTGAAATCAAAAATAAAAATAATAAAATAACAATAACAACAATATATATATATATATATATGTTTTTGAAATATATATAATATTGTTGAATTATATTTTGATATAACAAATATTTGTAGAATTGATTTTGGACTTAATCAAATATTTCAAAAATAATCCAAAATCCAAAATATCTTGAAAATATGTTTTCCAAATTGTTTTATATATGTGAAATGTTTTTGAGTCAATTAAAACATGTTTAAAATGTTTAAAATGTGTTTAAAGCTTTTAAAAATATGAAAAACAATATTCAATAACTATTTGGAAATGTTCATAGTTTGTAAACTTTTGTAAGAGTTTGGAAACGTTTGTAAATAGTTTCGAAACATATCATCCTGCAATTGTTTTAACGTTCGATTTTCTTCAATGGTCATACTTTTAAGTAAGAGTTTCGAGACTTTTATCAAAGTTACGAAGCTTTCAAAAATAATGTGTTTAAAAGTTTCGATACTTCTACAAATTTTCGAAACTTTCTCCAAAGTTTTGAAACTGCATGTGTAGGTGGCTTTTAATGCATTTTTAAAGCTTTCAATGACTATAACTCATCCCCAATGGTCATAAACGGCTAGCAACTCATTCCACACAATAAAAACACTCCAAGGACACTTAAAAAAGGTGACTACATCTATCCAAGCTTAAAGATCAAGATAAAAGAGTCTTTCATTCTTATTTATTATGAAGCTTTTATCAAGGTAATATTTTTAGGTAAGAGTTTCGAAACTTTTATCAAAGTTATGAAGCTTTCAAAAATAGTGTGTTTAAAAGTTTTGATGCTTTTACAAATTTTGAAACTTTCAAAGTTTTGAAACTCCATGGCTTTTAATGCATTTTTTAAAGCTTCCAATGATTATATCCCCAACGGTCATAAACGGCTAGCAACTCATTCCACGCAATAAAAAACTCCAAGACACTTAGAAAAGGTGACTACATTAAAGATCAAGAGAAAAGAGTCTTTTATTCTTATTTATTACAATTTCTCTGAATATAGTGTATTGAGCCTTATTGAATATCTTTTTATTCATTCTTTGTGAGCTTAAATATTTGTAAACACCTACCTAGTGATGTAATCTTGTTTACCCAAATCAAAGCTTGTAAAAGGGGAGTGGTTCTTGTTTAGCCTTAGAAAAACTAAGGAGTTGTAAATGTTACACTTTATCCTTAAAAGGTAAGAACAAAGTAGTGAATTTGTTAGAAAATTCTTAGTGTGTAGCTAAGGTATTAGATGTAGACTTGTTTGAAAAGTCAAACCACTATAAATCATTGTTCCAAATTTTCTAAATTTTATTGCTTACACACCAAAGATTTTTAAAGGCCAGTTCACCCATTCTTGGCAGTTTTTGGTTGATTGATTGAGTCCAACAATTGGTATTAGAGTGGGTCACAATCGATGGTTTAACAACCTAGTGAAGATCCTAGAAGAGCTCTATCAACTTTCTCTATCAACCGAGAAAGATGGCTTCAACCTCGGGCTCCTACTACATTGAAGATTCACAACCTGTCAACAAGCCATCATATTTCAATGTAGATAATTATGCCTATTACAATAATATGATGATACTCTTCATTCAAGCTAACGATCTATGAGCTTGGAGCTCTATTTTGACAGGTCATTCTATTCTAACAAGTTATGGCGGAGTGAGTAAAAAGAGAAGAAAAAGTTCCAACTAAATGCTAAAAGCCATGTACATTTTGTTTTGTGCATTAGGCTAGGATGAATATGGAAGAGTTTCCTCTTGTTCAAATGCTAAGGAGATTTGAGACAAGCTCCAAGTCACTCATAAAGAAACCAATGACGTAAGGGAAACAAAAACCAGTCTTATCAACCATAGCTATGAAAATTTTAAGATGAAACCAGATGAAGACATCAAAGCTATGACAGATAGATTTTCCGTGATTGTCAATGGTCTCAAGGTATGGAAAAATTATCCCTAATGAAAAGCTTATGAGGAAGATGATTTACTCTCTTCCAATGTCTTGAAAATCGAAGAAGACTTCGATCATTGAAGGAAAAAATCTAAAGTCTCTCACTCTTGATGATTTTTTGGGTTTTTTGCTCACTAATGATTTATTGGTAAAAGAGGAGGAGCAAGAAGAAGAAAAGATAAAAGAGAATAACAAGAAAATGAAAGATGTGAGAATCACCTTTAAATCCACCAATAAAAGTAATCAAGACTCAAGTGAAGAGGTGGATGAAGATAAAAAGATGACAAAGTTCTTCAAAATGATAAATGATTCATGATATCTAAAAAAGATAAGAAGCATGAATTGAGTAAGAAGAAGGGTCCTATAGTGTGCTTTGAATGCAAAAAAATAGGACACGTCAAGTATGATTGTCCTCTCTTGAAGAAAAAATGGATCAAGTAAGAAAAAACATTTGTGGCTGGTTGGAGTGATGGAGATAACTCCAATGATGAAGATGAAGAGTCAATCTATGTCTCATGGCCATCAAAGAATATTCAAGGGTAACTTCTAACTCTAATGATTTAAATTCCTATTCATTTAAAGAGTTACAATATGCCTATGATGAATTGTTTTTGGAATTTGAGATAATGAATTCCAAATATAATAAATTGATTTTAAAATTTAAAGTTGAAAATGATTTTCTTTTGAAAGCAAAATTAGATTTTTATAAATGATTTTGAGGTTTTAAAAATCAAAACTAATGATTTATAAAAAAGAAAATCTTGATTTGAAAGTTAAGCTTGAAGGCTTAACAAAAGAAAAAAGAAATAATTTCTCAAAACAATTCATCATGTTTAAAAATGACAAAATGCTCACATTTTCATTTTCATGGTCACATGGAACATACTTGTCTTTAAGACTTAGAAAACATTTTAAAATTAGACAAGTATGGGTTCCTAAGGGAACAAGGGACATTAGCACTAACAATTAAGGATCCAAAGCAATTTGGATACCGAAATCCAAATAAATGTCTCTTGTACATGTGTGGGAGAAATGGTGACAAAAGTGAAGAAATTAAAATGTTCTAACTTCACAAGATGAGGAATTGGTAACCTCTAAACTTAATTTTTATTTTATTTTACATTATTGGTTGCTTATTTGTTTTATGCATGCATGAGTTTTTGAACATAAATGATCATTTGTTATTTCTCAATCTCATGTACATTAAAATGTGTTATGGTGAACCTTCTAAAGCTTTTAATGATTTTTCATATTTTTTGTTCATCATAATGATTTTTGTTCAAATTTGTTTACATTTTTTAAACAATTTTTTCTTACTTTTGACTTTAAATTTGAATTTTTTGTATGTGTTTTAAAATTTCAAATGATATTTCTCTAACAATTGACTTTATGTTTGGATTTATTGAATTTCATGTACTACTAATGTTCTTCTCTCTTATCTTATTGAAATTCAATATTCTTTGAAGTGTCAAAGTTTTGAGCTAAAATTTGTTTTTAGAATGCATTTGTTGATGGGGAGCTTTGATTTCTTAAATCAATTTAAAATAAAATTATCTACTTACTCTCATTGTTATTTTGAACCAAAAAGTTTGAATTATTTTTGATATAATAAAAAGGGGGAGAAATGTAAGGTTGAAAAATTCAATTTCTTAAAAAGAAAAATGGGGAGCATAAAATATATTCAAATAAATTCTTTTCTTCAAAATATATTTTTCTAAAGGGGAGTTTTTGTCCAAAACAATTTTTAAAAAAGTTTTGTTATATCAAAAAGGGGAGATTATTGAATTATATTTTTATATAACAAATATTTGTAAAATTGATTTTAGACTTAATCAAATATTTCAAAAATAATTCAAAGTCCAAAATATTTTGAAAAATATGTTTTATAAATTTTTTATATATGTGAAATATTTTTGAGTTAATTAAAACATGTTTAAAATGTGTTTAAAGCTTTTAAAATATGAAAAACACTATTCAATTACTATTTGGCAATGTTCATACACGATATTGTTCATAGTTTGGAAACTTCTGTAAGAGTATGAAAACTTTTGTAAAGAGTTTCGAAACTTTAGTAAGAGTTTCGAAACTTTGCATAATGAAACTATTTTAATGGCCCGATTTTCTTTAACGATCATATTTTTAAGTAAGAGTTTCGAAACTTTCATCAAAGTTTCGAAACTGCATATTTGGGTGGCGTTTATTGCATGTTTTTAAAGCTTCCAACGGCTATAACTCATTCCCAAAGATCAAAAACTGCTAACAACTCATTCCACACAATAAAAACATTCCAAGGACACTTAAAGAAGATGACTACACCTATCCAAACTTAAAGATCAAAGAAAATAACCTTTTACTCTTATTTTCCATTTTCTCTTGTATATAATATATTGAACCTTATTGAATATATTGATATTCATTCTTTGTGAGCTTAAATATTTGTAAACACCTACCTAGTGAGGTATTCTTGTTTACCCAAATCAAACCTTGAAAAAAGGAAGTGGTTCTAGTTTAGCCTTAGAAAAACTAGAGAATTGTAAACGTTACACCTTATCCTTGAAAGATTAGAACAAATTAGTGAATTTTTTAGAAAATATTTAGTGTGGAGCTAAGGTAGTGGATGTAGACATGGTTGAGAAGTCGATCCACTATAAATCATTTTACCAAATTTTCTATCTTTTATTGTTTCCACACCAAATATTTTTAAAGGCCAATTCACCCCTCTTGGCGATTTTCGATTGATCGATCGAGCCCAACAAATATATATTTTTAATAAAACTATATATATATATATATATATATATATATATATATATATATATATATATATATATATATCAAAACTATATATGTTTTCAAATATATAATATATTTTTCAAAAACCATATATATATATTATAAAAACTATATATCCCTTTTATAGTATAATATATATATATATTTCAAAACTACATGTTTTCCCAAAACATATATATTATATACTTTAAAAATTATATATTAATTTAAAATTATACATGATATATAAATAAAAATAAGATAAGATCAAAATAAATCCCGACGAAAATTGGTGTCTACATCATTATTTGAAAATATTTTCCTTTATAAAATTAAGGAGATTAACCAAAGTTTAAAACGAACTTTAAAGACTAACAATAAGGATAGTCTAAATGATCAATAAGAGGCTAAAACTAAACTAGAGCCAAGAATGAGTAAACGAGCAAGGGACCAAACTTCCTAACCTTTATGTTGGAGGTTAAACCTCAAACGTATAATGAAGTTATATGGTCCTTTGAAGGCACCTTTTGGAAGGAAGCCATTACGAGTGAAATAGATTTCATCATACAAAACCATGCGTGGGAATTAGTGGATCTTCCTTCGGGATTAAACCACTAAATTCTAAATAGATTTTCAAATGAAAAATGAAAGCGGATGTAACAATTGATAAGTATAAGGCTAGATTAATAATAAAATATACCTATAAAAGGAATGACTTGAGTATTTTAATACATACTCTCATTTATTAAGGATAATAGCCATAAGAATGATACTCGCAATTACCACTATGCGAAATATAAAAGTACATCAAATGGATGTCAAAATAACTTTCCTAAAAGAGGATCTTGACGAAGAAATATACATGGAACAACATGAGGGTCATGTAGTTCTAGGTCAAGAAAAGAAAATTTGTAGGTTGGTGAAGTCTTTGTATGGACCTAAACAAGCACCAAAACAATGGCATGAGAAGTTCGATAGTATCATGATGACAAATAACTTCAAGATAAATGTGTGTAATAAGTGTTTATATGTCAAAACTATAAACATTGGATATGCTATTCCATGCTTGTATGTTGATAGCATACTCATTTTTTTGAAGTAACATTGAAATGGTAAAACACCCCAATGATATGTTAAATTCAATATTTGACATGAAAGATATGTGATTGGCAAATACAATTCTAGGCATCCAAATTAAAAGGTCATTTGAAGGCCTCATACTAACACAGCCACACTATGTGGACAAAATCCTTGAGAAATTTAACAAGGATGATTCTGTATAGCCATAACTCTAATAGACTCTTGTTCATATTTGTCTAAAAATAAAGTGAAAGTGTTAACCAAGCAGAATATGCAAGGGTCATAGGCAACCTAATATATCTCATGAGTTATACGAGACCAAATATTTCTTTTACTGGAGCAGTCTAAGAAGATTCACGAGCAATCCAGGTGAAAACCATTGGAAAACAATAACAAGGATATTGGGATATCATAGATATACTCAGAATTATGGGTTGCATTATTTCAAAGATCCTATTGTCTTAGAAGAATACTCTGATGCTAGTTGGATATCTGATATTCAAGATATCAGAGGTACAAGTGGATATGTATTTACTTTAAGATGAGGAGTTGTGTCTTGGAAATCCTCAAAATAAATGATTATAACTAATTTTGTAATGAAATCTGAGTTTGTAGCTCTAGACAAATCAGGAGAAGAAGTAGAATGGTTATGGAACTTTCTTGAGGATATGGCTGAAACTTGTTCCCACAGTATGTATATACTGTGACAACCAAACAACAATTGCTAGAGCACAAAATATCATGTATAACATTAAATTGAGACATATGCATCATCGACACAATATCATTAGATAACTAATCTCAAATAGAATTATCTATATTAATTTTTTAAGATCAAAGGATAACATCACAAATATGCTAACCAGAGGGTTAAATCAAGATCAAGTTGAGAAAACATCTAAAGGAATGTGACTAAATCCCATGAAGTTTAAAGGCTTTATGTAAAGTAAACCCTACCTTATTGACTAGAGATCCCAAGATCTAGGTTTAAAAGGATAACTTAATAGCATAAATTTTGTACGGTCACTATGGGGGTTCCTTATCCAAATTTGTTTCTATGATGTAAATAATGATCAAAGTTATATAGGCTAAACAAAGCTTTTAATGACCATTGTGTTGCGGTGAGCCAAGAAACATAAGTCACCTATGTGAGAGTGAAATAAGGTCACTTCAAGGAGACTATTTGTCATAATTCTTTCAAACTCTTGCATAACCAGGCGATGTCCATGGCTTTAAGGACATACCCACGAGAACTAAATTCTTGTTAGAGGGGTAGTTGTGTGAAGTATGTCATCGTTTACACAAATGGTAAAATAATTCAAGGACATTGCATCTACTGTTTAGCTAGTAAAGTAAATATATTGTCACAAGGAAAGGTTCAAATGAGGCCACCTACCTATTGTGTCCTATTTTGTGCAACTATTGATCATAGAGGTTATCACCACACCGAGTCAAAATGTTTTTGATAAAATCATCAACTTTATTTATGTTGGGGATTGTTAGAAAAAAGAGTGAATTTCATTGATGAATTTAATATTTATCTTAAATTCATATTCCTTTTAAATATTGTAAATTAAAATATATTATTTAATTTGAATATTAATAGGATAATTATTCTTTTGAAAATGTCAAATTAAATAGGTATTTATTAACTATTTAACTCTGATTATTAAAAGATAATTATATACTTTTGAATATTTCAAATTAACATAATATCAATTTAAGTTTGAATAGTAAAAGGAGTTTATATATTTTTTTTAATAATATGAGGTAAATACATGATAATATTTGTTCAAAGATAACTCTAAACCTTTCGACATTGATCGCTCACAGCTCTAGCATATATGGTGCTCGAACTCGAGTCCTTAAGGAGTTTATATCTTTTGAATATTAAAAATTAAAAGATATTTATTATCTTTTTAAATTTAAATATTAAAGTTATTTAAAAGATATCAATATCATTTTAAATATTTCAAATTAAAGGATAATTAAAAAATATTATCTTTTAGAGTTTGAATATAAATGAATAAATATTTTTTAGTAAGTTCTATTTTGAGAATTCCTTATAAATAGAGTGCTTACAGGTTAAACATAACTATTAGAATTTAAGAGCTTTTTCTTGAAAAAAATATTCTCTCATTCTTAGTTTTTCGATGATAGTCAAATGTAAGGATAGTTTATGATCTCGAAAGATTTTGCAATCGTTCGTTGTTCATCTAATTGTTGTATCTTGGGAGACAAACGATCGAAGATCTCGAACACATAAGAGTTGTCAAAAATCTGTTTTAAAAAATTTATATAACGTCAGACTTCAATTATTTTCGACCTCAAGATCAAGAGATATATATATATATATATATATAGAGAGAGAGAGAGAGGCCTTTTCTCTTATTAATTACAACAAATTTCCATAATAAACTATTGTTTCATTCATAACATTTCAGAAAAATAAATATGTATGTACGTACGGAAAAGAAATGACAGCACGACCATCATGCATGCCTACCGTGAGAGAGGGAGAGAGAGAGAGAGAGAGAGAGAGAGAGAGAGAGAGGGAGAGAGAGAGAGAGAGAGGCGCCTTTTCTCTTATTAATTACAACAAATTTCCATAATAAATTATTTTTTCATTCATAACATTTCAGAAAAATAAATATGTATGTACGTACGGAAAAGAAATGACAGCACGACCATCATGCATGCCTACCGTGAAATGTATTGTGTGGAAAGCAGTGTCGTCAACAACAGAGAAACCGGCATTAACAATGTCAGCTCCTTCTTCATGTAGAACTCGAACCATCTCCTTGAAAACGAACTGTTTTTCGCGGTCGGTCGTTAAACCGATCACCAGAGAAGAACCCATTTCATGAATCTCGCGACTCGAGGTGATTTCGAGCCATTGCTGCTGCTGCTTGCTCCTAGTAAGCCTTCTCTCCTGCTTCATTCTCTCCAAGTTTGTTTGTAACCTTTTTATGTACTTAGCCGCTTCTTCTAGTTGATCAGGAAGCGATGATGTTGATTCCTACAATGAAAGCAAATCACGGAGCTTTAGCATTGTTGATGTCCCGAATCTATGTACTAAGATTGAACGTATAATTTTACGTCATGATAAATTAACATTTAAGCATTGTTTTGAAAATCGGATCGGATCGACTGGTTCAACCGGAAACTGTTGACTAATCTGGTTCAATCTACACCGGTTAAACCGTTATTAGTGAACCGACCAGAACCGCTGAACCGTTTAAACAGAACCGGCCGAAAACCGAAAAAACCGCCAATTTTGTTTTTTTTTTTTTAAAAAAAATTAAACCAAACGATGTCGTTTATTAAACGAGCCAAGTCGAACTCGAGTATTGCTGAACTCGACTCGAACTTGAAAACTTTAAAAGTAAGCTCAACTCCACTCAAACTCACGAGCTAAAAATTATCAAATTCAACTCGAACTCGAAATATAATATTGAAACTTGAACTCGAAAAGGCTTGAACTCAAAAAAAAATTAGAAGCTCGATTGAAGCCTAAAATTCGAGCTTGATTGAAGTGAAAGAATAATTCACTTAATGCTCACCAAAAGGCTCCATGATTTTGAATGAAAAATTACATCTATTATTTATAGAAGTTAGTTGGGATGTTCTTCTATGTTTCTTAGCCATGTGGGATTGTTTTGTTCTCATATTTTCTCTTTAGACTTTTGGGATTCTCTTCTATGTTTCTTAGCCATGTGGGATTGTTTTTAAAAAAAATTAAACCAAATAATATTATTTTGTTATGATTTTTTTAGCTTCAAATTTATTTTTTAATTATAGTTATATAATTATATTTATTATTTAATATGTTTTACCTTAAATATTATGTTGTAATTAATTTGAATCATTTTGTTTCACTTGATTTTATGATTTTTAATTTATATATATTATGACTTGCTTTGAATATGACTTGTGATTTAAAAAATTATTTTTATTAAATATTTTTAGTATTTTTATTTAATTTTTTAAATAATTATGATGTCGTCCGGTTCTTCCGACCGGTCGAACCGGTTCGACCGGTTGAACTAATGAATCGATAGCATGGTCAGTTCGCTAACCGATCCGGTTCTAAAAACCATGCATTTAGAAATTTAGGGGTGAAACTCCCCCTAACACCGCTCGATCCATTCCTGTGCGTGAATTCATACATGAACAAGCTAGCAGATATAATATTAAAAGGAAAGGAGAGAGATGAAGTAACCCTAGAGTTGTAATGTGGGATAAGAGAATTGAGCTTGTCATAGAGAATTTTCATTTGACATCTCCTGTTCCTCTCAATGAGTTTTCTTTCGGTTCTTGAGGAAATATTGTTGGGGTTGATCTCCATGATGATGATGATGATGTTGATGATGATGATGATGATAAACACTTTTCTCAGAGGGGAAATAAGCCAAGGAAGCCTCATTGACCAAAATACAAGGGCTAATTGCTGTGTTTTAAGCTCCTAGGAAGCCTTAAAGCTTTCCCTTATCAGAAAGTGAAGAAAAAAGAAGCAATTTATATTGAAAAAGGAAAGTTTGGTTATCTGAATCAATGGTAGGGTTTGTTGCAAGGCAAAGTGGACTGACATTGACCCTTTTACTTCTTCAGGAGAAGAAACGTGTGTATATATATATATATATATATATATATATATATATCAACTACTGTTCAAATTCCGGCTATAATCATTCACAACTCATGGCAGTGTAAAGATATTGTATTTCGCTTTAATCACCGAAAATTAGGGGTATAAATTTGGATATCAGATATGATATAATCAGAAATTTTGGATATTTAAAATTTTTATGTTTTTATGATATAATGTAACTTATTTGATATAATTACTCACACATAGTAAATAATTAAATATCATAATTTTTATTGGGTAAGAGCCTTTAATAGATTAGTAGGTTATTCATTTATTGGGTTAAAATGTATATGAAATTTAAAAGCCCAATATATTTTCAGATAATTTGAAATTGAAATTTATCCGATCCGTATCCGATCTGATTATCTGAATTTTTTCGGATATCTGATCCGAATTATCAAAAAATCAAAAATGGATCGGATCAATTATATCGAATCTTTTTGCGCACTACGATCGAAAATCGATAAATTCATTGTTATTAAGACGAATTTTAGTGATTGTAATTCAAGTTTTAAAAATCATCATTTATTTTTATTTTTCACTTTTAGGGATGCATCGAGAGGTAGAATCGCATCCCCTGGAAATTTGAAATTCCCTTATATTTCAATTTTTTTTATATATTTTCTTTTATTTATCTAACTTCAAACTCTCTAAAATTTTATAGCTTTGCACCTCTTAAAATTTTCAATATGGTTGTCCCTTTTTTCCCATATGTATGGGATAAGGGGAGATAAGATAGTAGGCTGCGCCCAACACCAGGTTTAGTGCAACTTCCGTAGGAGACCTCCGAATTATGAAATGCCCTCCGTGAGACTAAATCCCACGACCTCAAGATTAAGAATATTGTGCTCTACCAACTGAGCTGGATGGTCATTTTCAATATAATCTCTTAAATTCGTACTCTCTATCATAAATTATTGTATCCATTCTGATCACTTCTATTATAAATTTCATCAATATATATATACATATATACACACTCTTGACAAAAAAGATCAACATGTTTAATGTTTTATAGTGTTTACTTTTTCTTTTTGAATAATCTAAAATTATTGCAAAATAATATTTATTTATAATTTTTTAATTATTAATAACGTATTCAAATTTAAAATTTATTTTAATTGCGGAAGCCACCCAATAAATTCGATAGTATTTTCTTGTATTAACGTATTCTGTGTTTTCCATGTTAATGTTTCATCCTCAACATGCACACAACACGTGGTTGACGTTGGCCAAGTATGACTATTGACAGGATAACATTTTCCACACCTCATTATAGTTGACTTGGCTGTCATGGTGCTTCATTTTACACTGATATATATAGAATAATTTGTTTCGAATTAATATTAATAGAAGATTTGAAATAAATTTTTGTTATTGTGTTTATAATTTAGTTGTTATTTTTATAAAATTACAAGTATAATTTACGGTTGCAATAATAGATAATACATATTTGATCATATTAAAATATCATTTTATAAAAAGTTTAAACATGTCACGGTTTTGTATTATTTCAAAATTTATTTTATATTTTGTTTATAAAATTGAGTTTTCTACTAGTTTTTATTTGAAAACTTTATTGAAGAATAAATTTAAGGATGACATTGCTTTCTCTCAAAAATTTAAAGGCCTATTATACCAATAAAATAGTTTTGAGGGCCTAAGATACCATTAAAAAAATTAACAGTCGAATTCAGCATATACATACGAAAACATATGCAAGCAACAGTAAAAAGACAGCTTGATGTGTTGCTTGCCCATCTATTTCATTCAATCTCACGTGAAAGTAGCGTATGGTACAAATAAAGAAAAGCTTAGAAAACGAACCTTTTAGATACAATTGGCTACTCGACACTACAAAAGCCAGATTCATGTGAACTTAGGTTTAGGCATTAGGTAGCGTGAGGGTGCACGGGACCGAGCTTTTGAATCTGGTGGCGGTGAAGGACCCCTTTCTTATGATCTTGGCAACTCAGGCTTGGTACTGAATTCAAGGTTCGGTCTTGATTAAACGACGATGATGACAACTCCAATTGCTCCAACACCTTTACTATCTGCCAAAACTCGGGCCTCTTGTCTGCGTGCAACGACCAACATTTTTCGATTAAGGCTCGCATGAGAGGCGGACAGTCTCCCGGCACTACTGGTCTCAAATTCTAGGAAGAAAAGGATTCCAATATCAGAATTTCAGATATAAATGCAGAGATCATACATAAACACCGGAGAAATACGATGCTTTTGTAGCTTCGTATTGTTGGATGATAGGGTAGATGGTAAGTCATTCATTTTGGATGAAAGCTCAAGCGGCTGCATGTGACCGGGAAACTAGACCGATGAGGATCGGCAAGATGACCGAGCAGTCTACTGTCATGTGGACTAAACAACTCGGTTCATCGACATTTCAAATGCTGTTGCATGCCGTATCTTATGCATCAAGATTACAATCTTCAACTGACTGAACATGATTTTGGGTGGTTTCATAAGCAAAGAAATGAAGATTTATGCATCCATGTTACAGAGGAGCACGAGATTCAGAAATATACCTTGTTCAAAACTGCAAAAGCAGCTTGCATAGGATTCATATCCTCATATGGGATCGTTCCGGTGACCATTTCCCATAAGATTAATCCAAAGCTGTAAACATCTACCTTTCGTCCATACCGTTTTCGTTTGATCATCTCAGGTGCCATCCAACGATAAGTCCCCGGGTCATCTGCCGGTAGATCACAATGTGCCTCCTCACACGCTATACCGAAATCAACAATTTTCAGGTGGAATTCCTTGTCTATAAGGACGTTTTCCCGGCTTAAGATCACGATGAATGACTCCTTGAGAATGAATGTATTCCATCCCATGAGCAAGTTCAAGAGCAATAGCAATTACTTTTTGTAATGGAAGAGATTTGTGATCAAGCTTGTGCAAGTATGCCCTTAATGAACCCCCTGACAAATATTCGGTTACGACACAATAAACCGGAGGCCTTCTGCATGCTGCTACAAACTAGTTGACGGATCAAAACATAAAGTGAGAACTGAAACCATAACACAAATACTCATTTCAAGATAATTTAAAGCTACGGTCAAAATGAAAATGACAAAGAAATTGAATTACCTTAACAATGTTCCTATGGCAGAGCCTGGACAAAAGAGTAACCTCTCTGTTGAACTGTTTCTCTAATCTAACAGCCAAGTCTCGGTCTTCGGCATCATCCGGTACCCTAATGATCTTAACTGCAACAGCTTCCTCCTTATATATCCCATGATAAAGCCGGCTATGAGCACCGTGAGCGAAACTAAGCCCGAGAAACAGCTGTGAAAGATCAACAATGTGTTCATCAACTGCTTCAACAGAGTTAACCCTTCCACCAGCATGGTGAAAATCCTTGCACCAAGCGGACTCTTTCCTGCCCTTGGACTTATCTGAAACTTTCAAAGACCCTGAGTTCAATGGTGCCGGTGAACCGGATTGTTTCTTTTCCATCCTTCGCTTATCGGATTCTTTCCTTTGAGGATGTGGAGTTGAGAATCTCCTCCTGTCGGACCTTGCTTCCTTAAATGTATCAGACAGAACAATCTGGGGTGAAGGAGAAACAGATCTTTGCTTGTTTGTGATCAGATTCTGCTGGATCAGCGGATCAATGTGATCGGATTTCGGATTAGAAAGTTTCAATACTAAAAGCCTCTCCTGAATTGTGTCTGATTGTAGATCGACAGGGAAAGATACCAAACTAGATGAATCCAATCTATGACAAACAGTGTGACAAAACTTTGCTCTCCTAATCCATGAATTAGCCTCTTCTGCCATTGTTAAGGTTAAAGACCTTGACCTCAAAAGCTCAACCCCTTTGCTTTTATCTTCCTTCTATGTTCTCTCCTATACAATATGAAATTAGCATAAGAAACCAAAAATCTTCAAGCTCATCACCAAACGAACATTGAAATGAGAATCAAATTTTGGTTTCCTTGAAGTCAAGAAACCAATCGAAGCCACGAAGAACCATAAAAAATGAGAATCTAGTTGGCCTTAAATCTTTTCTCTACCTGACAAATTATCAAACAGTTGAGGAACCCTTTGATTTTAAAGGACCAAACTTTTCTTTCAATAACTTCTTCTCCCTAGGCTTGAAAAGTCTGGATACCACCTTCCGTGAATGCCTGGAAAATCCCACACAAGCAACCAAATAAACAATTTATTCATCCTTATTAAAAGAAAGCCAGATTCATATATGAAAAATATCAAAGTACTACGAAGTCTAGTACATAGGACAAGAACTTACCATGAAGCTATGAATTGCATGGCCAACGCAAGGTAGCATTTTTGTTTTCTAAGTTCAAAACCTTCTTTGTTGTTATAAATCAAAGAGACGATCTTTTGTGGGTGAAAAGGATTAAATGGAAATCATCAACAACAACAAATCCAAAATATAGTAAAAGAAGAACAAAAAAAATCTAGGAATTCACCTGTAAAAAAAAAAGCAGCTAGTTTACGAATCGTAAACGGATATGGCTGAAAGACGTAGATTACGTGGACCCGATATTTTCGGACATGAAATACGTATAAAAGTATAAAAAAAATATAAAGCTGGAGCCGAATGAGAAAGACGGCTTTGAACTGTTCAAAAAGGAAAAAAAAAGCCATATAGACTTCATAAAAATCGATGGTAGGATTATAGTTTTGGTCCCTTTGTCATATTTAAATCTGAGAAATA